CCGGTTCAGAAGTGGCCGCAGATATACTCAACAACTTCGAGACATTGAGGCAGAAGATTGTCAAAGTGTTCCCTCAGGAGTATCAAAGAGCTCTCAAACAAATGGCGGAACAGTCTGTCAAACCAGAGGTTGAAGTCAAACAAACCGACGACCAGAAGGTGAAGGACATCGAGGACTCGATTCCGGATCAGACAAAACTCGATAAAGTGCGCGGATTTATGAAGTATAAGAGGATTAAAGGCTATTATCGCGATGTCAGCAAACGATCCAAGGATTGGAAAGAGATCTTTGACCACCAGTTCATCCAAAACAATGTCCGCACACAGGCCTCGAGGTCTGATCCCTACCACTAAACCTACTGTCCCTTCAATTGCTAACCTCTTAATCACATATACAGGTGTATGGAGTGCGGCGTTCCCTTTTGTCAGTCATCCCACGGCTGTCCACTGGGAAACATAATCCCGCGTTGGAATGATCTGGTCTATCAGGACGACTGGTATGAGGCCATCAAACAACTCCTCCAGACAAACAACTTCCCGGAGTTTACGGGTCGGGTATGTCCCGCACCCTGCGAGGGCGCCTGCGTTCTAGGCATCACATCCCCGCCCATCGCCATCAAAACCATCGAAGTCTCCATCATTGAGACGGCCTTCGAGAAGGGATGGATTAAGGCGTCGCCTCCGACAGGTAATTATAGCCATTAGTTCTTATATACAGAATATTCTGTAATATTCTTGTGTCCACTGATAGGGCGCTAAGAATATCGTGTCGTTTGAGATACTCCCGCGACCCGGAGATACTCGCGGTGCGGACAACCCGTGGCCCCAATGGCCGCGAATATACCGCAAGGACTACGGCCACGAAGAGGTAGAGCTGAAGTGGGGATCGGATCCCAGAATATTCGGCATCAATAGCAAGGAATTCCTGGACGACGGCGCCGGTAATGTGAAGGGAATCCGATCCGTGCGGGTCGAGTGGACTCAAGACAACGGCCGATGGATTATGAAGGAAGTGCCCAACTCTGAGCAGATCTACGAGGTATGTGTGGGTGTGGTGTGAGGGGAACGGTATGTGATTATATATCAACTGATCACACGGTGGTATACCTACTCTTAGGCCGATCTGGTGCTGCTGGCGATGGGATTCTTGGGACCCGAGACTTACCTCACGGAACAGCTGAGACTCACGAAAGACCAGAGATCTAACGTCTTGACCAAAGCGGGCACCTATAGGACACCCATCGATAGGATCTACGCGGCCGGGGATTGCCGTAGAGGACAGTCGCTTGTAGTGCACGCCATCAATGAGGGCCGACAGGCGGCCCGCGAGATCGACGCCGACCTCCACAACGGCATGTCTACGCTGCCCGGGCCCGGGGGTGTCATACCGTACCCGCCGATAGCTTTGGGCACTAAACTAATGGCCGGTTAGGCGATGATTAGGTTTATTGGTGTGTCTGTCACGCGATTCTGTGTTTTCATTGAGTATATATAGAGTATGATTAATACATATA